TATACTGAATATTGCTCATTTATCAAAATCTTGTTTCTCTTTTGTCACTTTTTAATATCTATCTTATAGTTTCTTGTATTGATTTTTTACTATCATTGCAGTTATTTTTTTAAAATAGTACTCCAGAGAATGAATTATTTTCTCACCTGTCAGTAATTGAGGCAATTTCATTCTACATGACAACGTTCAGACTTCCAGGCATTTATGAATGAGCAATGCATTGGAGCAAGGGTGTGGCTGTACTACACAATGCCCCACACAGTTAGGGAGCAGAGGATTAATTTGTTATTCATAAAACATGATATTACATCATAGACAGATAGGCTTCCCTGACCTGTCCAGATATCACCAGGTGTCACCTTAGAAACACGAGCTAGCTAAACTTGTTAAAAAAGAAAATATTGTAATATTTTTACTTTAACGTATTTAATATAGAAGTTTTTATTCCTTCTGTTCTCTTTACAGTGTATTTTACCAAGAATACTTGAAAATTTTAAGAAAAAATAATGATATGTGAATATATATTTTCTATCCAAACACAAACACTCAAACATTTCAAATTCATAGTCATTTCTATATAGAGAGAACTATGAAAGACTTAAGGAACATTGAGATCAGAAAGGATTCATTTTTATATAAATGTAAATTCATGAAAAATATTTTGAATATATTTATGCAAGTTTAATGTTTATAATGAGACTAAATTATCAATAACTGCAATATTTATAATGTTTTAAAGTATGTTATAAATGTCTGGTACATAGAAGAAGTTTCACAGATAATCACATTCTCTTGGGAGTTAACATTATGGAGACTTTTCAATAATAGTTTAAAGAATGTTTATCACAAACTCTTAAGCTTTTACAAAAATACTGTTTTAGTCATAGACCTTCTTAACATTATGAAAGAAACAGACATAAAAAAGTACACATTGGCACAAACAAAATTTGTATACGATTGTAGCTTGTTCATAAATTCATCCAAGATCATCCAGCTTTGCTCATGGGTCCTTGATAACTGAATGAACTGAAATCCTTTGTGAATGTTGTGTAAATTAAAAATTCTTAGCAAAGTATGTGGCAAGAAAAGAAAAATAATTATTTTAATTTGAGTCTTTAATACTATATAATTCATTCCATTAGAAAATTATAACACATTAGAGTCTTTTATAAATTATAACTAGTTTTTCTTAACCTGCATGCTCCAATCAGGTGTTTTTGTTGTTTATATGCTTGTGTTTTACAAGACAAGAAATGATTTTGCAAGAGTAGTGTTTTAAATCAACTCCTCAAACTAAGTACCAGTTTTATAATTTGTTACGTTGAGTTGATTTTTTACATATATAGATTCATCTGAAAGAAGTGCCAGCATTTGGAAAGAGTACTGAATGTAAAGTTGACAAAAATAATAGGGATCTTTTAAAATATGTGTTAGTAAATTGATACATGCTTTTTAAAGGGCAGTTTATTCAGCATGAAACATATCATTCAGCTTATAGCTTATAGCAAATATTTTGACCCTTTGGCCTTGAGAAAAATATTTATAAAATTGCAATTTTAATCAACCTTTAGTGTTAGATGAGATAAATTGCTTCATATAGTATCATGCTGTCTATAATTGTAGTTAACATACATTGTCTATTAAACATTCTTATGATTGTATTATAAGTAAGCTAAATTTTCATTAAATGCTAAATGAAATTGCATTGTTATAAAAATGAGAGGGAATATTCAACTTTCTAATATGGGACAATTATAATTTTTTTTAAATTCCCTATTTTTTAAAGTCTTTCTATAAAGGAATAACTGGTACTTTAGAAATTTTGTTAGTTTTCGGTACTACTAATACTCAGAATATTCCTTAAGTGTAAATTTAATGCTATGTTCTGGGAGCAAATTGGAAAATATCTTATTTTATATTTCAATTTTGCTATTGGAATTTAAATTCATAAAATGTAAAATTTTAAACATTAGTCAGTAATCATTCATTTAAAAGTAAAATATTTGAGTTCTGTAAGCTGTAGTTATTTTACTTATAATTGAGGATAATTACATTCCGAGGATGCAGTCATAACACTTTTTCTAAAATTGTGTATGTCAATGGACTCATATTTTCTGTTTCAAATTTGTGATAAATATTCTATTTTACTTGATAAATTTGTTTTACTATTTAGTTTGTGTATCTATAATCCAGAAATAATTTTATTTTATTCCACAATATACAGCTGAGAAATAAAATGGAAAACAGCAAAACCTTTGGCAAATTTAGAGTTTCTACATTCACACTGAAGTTTCTCCAGGGACTATGAAAGAACTTTTGCTGAGATGCATTTTCTTGTTCAAGCAATTATTTTTACAAAGAGCACTGAACATACATCATTAGGAATAATGAAAAATACTGTGAAAGTGTATGTACTAATACATAATTATCTGGCTTTTCAATATTAATAGGTAAATAATAATCTATTTGAATTGGCTTCTGTTCTTGTAATCCAAGAGCAATGAGGATGACCTAGCAACTACAGTTTTGCTTGAGAATCAAGGGGGTCCACTGATGATGTTGAGTCATAATATAAATTTGGAGATTTTTAAATCTTTGATATATTTCAAAGTAACTTTACCTTCTTTGGGAGTAAATATAGTATAGTAATCATTTCTGAAAAGTAAAAGTGAAGTCATTTCAAACAGTATGACTTATTTTTGTTCTGGTAGGTTACCACTCTATTCTCCTGATTCAGTTTTGAGTTTTGCAAAATAAAGTTAGAGATGCAGCCACATCCTATGCTAAAATAATCTTGTTTAGAGAAATGAGGTGTTGTCTTGCCCACAATGTACATTCACTGGAACTGGTTCAAAATTTATCAAGTCAGCAGCTCTTGGAAATAGTTGTCAGCGCCTGGGTAATCACCAGCCCTCAGAACTACAGAATGCTAAATGTTACAAAGCTATCAAAGAATAAATGTCAAAAATTGTTAGAGTTGAGCTAACATTTAAAGTTGATTTTTTTAGAAAATCAGATTTCTTTGAATTGCATTAGACTTTAATTGTAAAGAATAACTGATCACAGTCCGTTTGCTTCTCTCAAAGCTGGTAGCAGTGGCTGATTAGGGATCCAGAGGTACTTGCACCATAGGCAGAAGACAGCTGATATTTTCACATATCTTATACTGCATATGGCTTTCTGTAGCTATAGCATAATCAGTAATTTTGTGTCACTTCTTAATTACCCTCACGTAACATTTTGTTTTGACTCTTTATATTTTGTCAAGTAATTAATAAATTTCTGCTTTCCTACGCTTTCCATTGAACCATCTTCCTTCGATCACCATTTCTTGTCTCTGAAGTCAGCATTTGCAAAGCAAGCCTGTGTCATTGCTTAATTCACATAACTATGATGGAGATGGCTTGTTTGATTTATTGAATTCACCACAATGAAACATTTAATAATCTGGTGCTAAAAATATGATTAAGACATTTAGGCACATAGTGGGGCCAGAGATTTAGCTCAGTGGCACCTCGCCTACCTTGCAAGTACAAGGTCCTGAGTTCAATCCCTGGTACAAAAACAAAAAGAAGAAAACCGCTTAGGGACAAATTTCAGACTTTGTGTATTTAATTTGGACTGTATCAATCTGTACTTGAGCACTCAATAAATGTTACTAATCTGCTTAAGTTTATAAAGTAGGTATAAGTGTTACTTATCAAGATGGTAAAGCACATTTAAATGTCAAAAGAGAAAAATTTATCAACAAATGCCTTATAAACTCCTTGTAAGAGGTGAAATAAGCAGTCAGGTCAATCAGGTATATCAGCATTTCTACTAACTTTAAAAACCACTAGTGGCCCTTGACAGAAGCCCTACCATCTCAGTCACCAGGAAGTTTTCCCCCACATACATATGTAGACATGTACACAGTTGTGTGTATACACCGGCACAAACACACACACACACACACACACACACACACACAAATCTCAGCTGGCATGGTGCGCCGGATGCATCACAAGTTCAAGCCTGGCCTGGGCAACTTAGTGAGACCTTGTCTCAAAATAAAAAATAAAAAACAGCTGGAGAAGTAGCTGAATGGTAGAGTGCCCTATGGTTTAGTTCTCATATTACAAAATGAATAAATGTGTAAACATATTTTTTAGTAACCTTTGCATTTGTTTTGAAGGTTAAAGGCAGACTTTTTAAGCTATATTGCTCATGATGAATTCTGTCTTGAAATAATTCACATTTTATTGAAGGCTGCAAAGGTTGCACTCCAAACAATGGCTCATGCTACTTTGGTGGTTAATAAGGAGTTAAATGGAACACAGTGATTACCATAAGTTAAAGCGCTAAAAATAATGCATCTTGTTTTCAAAACAGGAACTTTATATATAGGGTTCAGAGTCATCAGAAACAGAAAGCTTGCTTTGTCTTGTAATCTAAGTAAGTCTATTTTTAGGTTGGCAAATGTTCACAATAAGCTATTGGTAGAAATTCATGATATAATAAGAATGTTTCAAAAAAGTAGCTGATGATCAGTTCAGCAGTGTTTAGGTCACCAGTGTTAGCTGAGGGTGCTAAGTGAGTGTGCACGCGTGTGAGCCTGTGCATACATGTGTGATGTGTTAAGTGTGCATATATTCGTTTTCTCTATATATGTACATGCTATATATGTAAACTAATAATTAAAACATATTTCACAATTAAATTTGCTTTCACATAATTAGTTGTGAAGGGAATTGAAAATATTTCACACCAGTTGAAAAAAGAGGGTGCTTAATCTTTTGTTACTAACATTTGTTGTCTCCATCTGTGTGATTTGATCCATGTTCATCTTTAGATTAACAGTTTCTAGTATGTACATTTGACATTTTTAAAATTTATTAATCATATGTTAGTTCCAAATTTTATTTAATTGAAGTCATTTCAAAAGCATTGAAATCATAAACCATGTAGTTCCTAAAGGTGCTTCACGTGTTTTAATAGGCTTCCATTGTGTGTTTTTGCAGCAAGCTTAGTAGTGGAGGAGCGAACAAGACAAATGAAAATGAAAGTGCATCGATTTAAGCAGACAACAGGGTCTGGTTCTAGTCAAGAACTTGATCGCGAGCAATATTCCAAGGTAAAATTAGTAGTATCCAACAAATACCCTTCTAGAAACATACAGTGGGTGTTCAGGCAGGAGTAGCAAGCACTGAGTTATGTAAGATAAGTAATCATTAAATGATAGTCTTACACAATAATTTTTTTCCAAAGTCTGAAAAAAACTCTCCCTCCTCTTGATATTTCTGGAAGATACAACTTTACTGAAATGTTATTTTTTTACTTGGATATAATAATTTTTCTAAAAATATAGAAACACTTGGTATTAAGTCACAATGATTGTCAGTCAAATTCACAGACATAAGATACCATTTTGTTTCTTAAATATCATTTAAATATTGCATTTAAAATATTAAGGTATATATTTATAATCTTAAATACTGGTGGTATTGATGTTGACTATTGAGATTTGTTCCTGAATGACAAAAATTATATGATGTGAGATTTCTTATTGATCTATCTTTACTAAGAAAAGCAATTGATCTAAACTGTTAGAAGCTGAAAGTCACACAATTTCAAGTGCCTGTCAGTATTTAATTTATATTTCAATATTATTTTCTAAGGAAACACTAAGGAGTTTATAAATTGCCAACTAATATCTATATGCTTAATTAAGAGAATATTTTTCATGAAGTAATTTTGCACACATTATGTGGTTTATTTAAAAGTCTTAAAAAAGGTACAAAGTAGTGGCATCTGTTAGTCACCCTTTGTTTTAGTTTGAAATACAGAAGCCCTTTTGGAAATAATGACCTATTAGAAATCAAATTAAAATTGCACTAAATCAATACAGTTAGCTAGAACTATGGAGTAGAAAAACCTATTTTGAAAGCTTAAAATAGATCACAGAAAATCTATTTGCATTTTAAACTTGAAATATGGCCTAGATAAACCTTTTTTTAAATTCTTTTATTGATACATTTTTGGTTATTTTTTACCCCATTACCTGTGCGCCCTTTACCCCCTCCACCCTTCCCTATTTACATAGACTTTGTTTCCATTTTTTTTTTCTTTCTCATAATTTTTCCTTTCCCTTCTTCCCTTTCCCCTTCCCCTCCCACCACCCTTATACCTTTGGACCTTTTCCTACTTCAAATTATCAATTATTCATTTTAATCATTTTAATCCTTATTTACACTTTCAGTTTCTCACACTAGAGAAACTATTCGGTATTTACATGTTATTTTTTAATATTGGAAGTTGCTCATTATACAACCAGATATTCAATAACTAATACAAAAAGTAGAGGTAGTTACATAATGTAATTTACCACTTGTATTGCCGTAGATCATCTGTATTGGCTATGATCTGTCACTTTATACTTAAATTAGATGCAAAAGCATTTCCAACTGAGGCACTCAGAGGTCACTGTGATTCCGGAATCCCAACTCTGAATGAGTCTGTAACGACTTTTTAAAAAGTAAAGTCAGGAAGAAAAAAAGTAAGCAGAATATCAGTTGCTGATCCAGCTCCATACGTCCTCTCTGGAGTTCATTCTTTATGGTATCACCACAGAATTAGCTTACTTGTCTGTCTTCTTTAAGAATATCATCACGACTTTTGTTTTCTTTGAGTACAAATGCAATACAAAATAGAAGGCATCATGATTAGAGTTTTCTTTTTTCTTCTACAGTTAGATACACTTATTTGAAAGATTCTTTGAATGTGAAATGCTTCATTAAAGCTTTATTGATTTCTTCAGCATTATGCCAGAGGATGAGAACAGATAGAACAAACAGCAAAGGGAGGTAGGCCAGGATAGGAAGCGAGAAAGAGGTAAGTAAAGAATTAGGATGAAATAGTGAAAGCCTTTCGGGATTATTCTGAATTGTACTTCTAAACATTGATCAGTCAATCAAAAACTCTATGCAAGGAAATGCTGTATAGGTTGAAATCCACCACTAGTTCTTATAGACCTGGTAAATCAGAAGTAGTCTTTCTTGTTTATGAGGTGCCAGTTTTCTGGCTCGAGAAGTTTAGAATTTGAAAAGGCCTCAATATATTATTGTGTTTCAGGCAGCTTATCTATTTTCCAAAATTATGAATGCTGCAGCACAAAGTGAAAGAGGTGCTTTTCCACAGTTAGTAAAGCCGCTCTGTGAAGCAATTTCTTCTACTACTTCTGTCACTGAAATGCACATTACTCGGCTTAGTTTAAAGTTCTCATGTTGCTTTTAATTTACACCTCAGTATTCTGCCTTTCCTTCCTCTGCATAGATACCTGTTTCTTTTTTCCTCTATCACTGCATTTGGTATTTTTACAGAGCCATTACTTTCAAATATATCACTGTTATTTTTACTGAGCATATTGATTATGACTGTAGCTCTTAAAATTATAGTTGATAGTATCAATTGTGTCATCAAAGATATAGCATCTTAAAAACATGTAAGAATGTAGGACAAGAAAGTATGTAAGATAAAATAAGTGAATAGCTGTTTTTTATTTTATCTCAAGTAAAAGATACACACTGTCCATAACTCTACTTTTCATATTCTTCCAAAAGAATTTTTTTAAATTTAATTTTACATTGATACATAAAATCATAAAAATTTACATATTAATGAGATGTTAGAAAACAATTCTAGTAGCCATTTCAGTTTAAAATGTTCTCACATACTTGAAAATTTGTCTTTTTTGCTTTCTATCCTTTTCACCAAGCATTGTAAACTTATTTTGCAAATATCCCTTTTTGTTGCTATAATTGGGTGGTGGCATTGTCATGAATATAATGTAGATTAATATGAACTTTATTTCTTTACTGACTCCTTTTGCAGCAGTACACAGTAGTTGAAAATTCTACCAAGTCTGAAATTAACTAACCATTCCAAAAATACTTTTAACTAACCACCAGTAGAACTAGATTTTTTTTCAAGGCAAAACTTTTTCAGATGATTATCATTTTTGAGATTTTTTAAAAACCCAGTATCTATTTTAAAAGATTAAATAACCCCAATATCCACCCTGAGTAAGGAATTAGTATTAATTTTGCTTTTGAAAAGACATGAAACAGCTTTGGTATTTCAGAAATGTGTCACCTTGCTATTTTTTTCGATATTGTTATTCCATGTTATGTGCTTCAGTGATGGGTTGAAATTGATAATTGGAGGGTGAGTTCATATTTAGACACATTTTAAAATGGGCTTATGTTTCTGTAACCCAGAAAGAGCATGTAAGACTTGTGTGATGGCTTTTTTAGGTAGCTCCCAAGTGCTTATTATTTCTTGCTTTTAAAAACAGCAGTTCTATAAAAAGAGCCTTTCCACCCATCAATAACATTATTCTATGATCAGTGCGAATTCCTCCTGAGGATATCATGTTCCTCAAAATATAATTCTTTTCATTAAAATATTACATTGTTCAATAGGAAATTTAACGCATTATAATTTGATAAAAATTATTTAAAATTTAACTTGTTTCTGAAAAACAGTAAATGTAATGGTGATAAGCAAACATAAAAGTATTTCATTTCGTTCAAATAACCAAAGGAACTGTGATCTTGTGTGAGAATGATAAATTATCTCAATATAAAAAAGTTTACTATGACATCCTCATTTTGCCTCTTTGCTCTAATAGGAAAGATCTATATATAAGAAAGTTGAAGAAGAGATGTCTTATGGAAGAGGAAGATTTATTTAGTTGAAGAAATATTTCCATTTACATACATGTTTATGCTTTATTACTTAATATTTAGTTGCGGAATAAAGGAAACATTAGAAAACTAAATGCTGGAAAAATCTCCTATGTCTAGATAAATTCTTAGAGCATTAATCCTCTGTTATTTCCTGTTTTCTCATGAAAAAGATATCATTGGAACCCATTTGGAAACATTATGATTATTATATAGTCCATCTTGTTTGTCACAGTAATTTAAAAGCCTATAATCTAGGAATTGTGTTTGTACCCAGTTGTGTTTGAACCCAGCAAATGTTAAATTCAAGCTCTGCTACACATCTACTCTGTAAATTAGAAACAGTTCTGATTGAAAAGAATGATATCTGTCAGGATCATGGTATTAGATGTGATAGCATTTTCTGGTAAACCAAATTATCACATCACATTCAATAAGTTATCTTAAATCATTAATGTTAGAGCAAACGTGAAATTATGTAACTAAACATAATAGCATATGTGAGTTTCCTTTGCATTTTAACTTAGCATCTGACTTTCAATGATAAATACAACTAAGAAAAATTCTTTGGTAAATAACTATAGATATTTGATAAATTGTGAATTGTTTTCATTCCTGATATAAAATTCTTTGACCAATATGTACACATGAGGGGTGACAGTTTTAAACTAACATTTGAATGTTTTAGGACTAAACATCTTACATGAAGAATTATGAAGTAAACCAGTCTCTAGGGATATTTTAAAAATATTACAATTTTTAAACATAGAGCCAGGGTTTAACATGAGTTTATGTAGTATATGTTAGCAACATCAGATTCATTAAAACTCCTCTGATATTGAACTACAGAGGATAAATCACTTTTTCTAAAAGTTTAATGAACATTTGATATTTTCAAACTTTATTGCTCATAAATTTAAAAATTGCTTGGTAGGAAACTTAAATGCCAAAATATTTCATTTTGTGTAAGAAGTTACAGTACCTTAACTCTCAGTACCTGAGATAAAACTACTAATGTAGTAGATATTTTAAAATTATATAACTATTATTTACATAACCTTACTGCTTATTATGAATGTAACACATATATACTACAGTAGTGTATAGGCTGTTTATTATGTGGTCCTTTGAAGTATGACTTGAAGTAGAAAGAAGAATAGATTCACTGGGTTCATTCTCTAGCACTGAAAAATGAAACGGTTTCCCTAGGGTTGAATTTCGTACCTTATGATTCCTAGAATCTTAGAAAGTGAGTGTTACAGGCAAATTTAAACACATTTAAATATAAGATATGCATATATTGAAATATTAATAGGAATTTTATATTTCACTTTTGATACTGAATTAATAGTTTAAATCTGAAAATGTCTAATAAGACCATAATAGAAAGCAAGATGAAGTTGTCTGTCTCAGTGGCTCCCCTTGGATTTAATATTTCTGTGTGGAGTTACCTTTTGAAGAAAATTAAGAGAATATGATGTCCTACAACACAGAAAATGTATAGGTAAATTGAATAGTTTTAGAAATAATGAGCAAGTACAGCTAGAAAGATGAAAGCAGTCTGTACCATAAATACAGAGTGACTAAAACAGGCAGTAGTGAAAGGGAAGAAATAAACTGATATACTAGAAAAAAATTAATACCATTTCAGATTTAAATCATGTCAAACAATTTGTGAAAGTTTTCACTTGATCATTTAAATTTTCATTCAGCCTTCATAAACCATCACTTATCATTGAAAGTACATAAAGTTTTTTATATTGCAAATCATGGTAATGTCTGTATGATTCTAGAATTCACACCCACTTTTATGAAGGTACATTTTGTCTAATGAGGGGTTTAGTAGTCCTTAACCTCACCAGCTTTCTCTTTCTTTTCCATGATGTGATGGTGGAGCTCACCCTTTCTTGTTTTTGATCTTTAGTATAACATACATAAAGATCAGTACAGAAGCTGTGATAACGTCTCTGCCAAATCATCAGATAGCGATGTCAGTGATGTGTCTGCCATTTCCCGAACCAGCAGTGCCTCTCGCCTCAGCAGCACAAGCTTTCTGTCTGAGCAGTCTGAGCTCCCCAGGGGTAGAATCAGGTGAGTTGGCAATGCTGTTTGTATTTACTGGGTCTTTATCCTCGGTATGCCATGCAACCAGCTTCTGCAGTGTTCTTTCTAGAATACAGTTTAGGTCAAGTACCAGAAACATCTCATTAAAATAAGTGGGTGGGTCAAGCATTTACCAAGTACTGTGTGGTATCACTAACTAAATATTTTGGTACTGTCTGCTTCCAGGCACAGCTTAGTACTACAATCCTGACTGCTGTGTCACATTTGCAAGTTTCATCTAATACGTTGAAATCCACAGAGCACCCTTTAGTCCAGTGTCAGAAAACCTTTTCTGTAAAAGGCTACATAGTAAATGTTTCATTCTTTGTAGCAGAGTATTCATGACATTTACTCAACAATATCATTGTAGTGTTAAAGCCATGCAAATAAATGAGCAGGTTGGTCTGTCTCTGTCTGTCTGTCTGTCTATCTGTTCTGAAACAATATTGGGCTACATTTTCCCCAGAGGCTGTAGTTTGTCTACCTTTTCTTCTATCTCGTCATAATGGTCAGTCTATTTTCAGGACAGAGTATAATGCATATGGTAACAAAATATATATTCCCTAGGTTATATTTTGTGAGTTGTAAGACATTTGTATGGCCTTTACTAAGTTGCCAGTAGTGCCCTTGTGTTCTTACAAGGCAGATACTCTGATGAAAGGGAAAAGACCTTAAATATGCCGTCTACAGTAAAGCACTCATTGTTGACAAAGCGCATTTTGTATATGTTCTTAACTAGTTGACAGAAGTCGGTTTCATGGAGGGAATGTTGGGGTTGATAAGTACCAATAATTGTGTTAAAAATAGAAAGAAATATCTTTCTGATACTGAGAAAATCTTGTTATTTCACATTTTGATATACAATGCAATGCATTCTGAATATTCCTTCTTCTGAGGTTTCTCTACACCTGACGTCTTTTCTTTTGAAGAAAATTGAAAACAATCATGTTACTGTTAGTTAACAGTTTCATAGTCTGTTAATCCACATGAGCAATTTCAACTGCTTGTGTTTGAAAAAGAGAAGAAAGAACAGGGAAACTTGAGGCAGCTGAACAAAAAGGGACTATGATTTTATACAAAGTGTATGGAAGGAAACTACATGTTAGTGTAGCCATTTTGTGAGGGAAATGCCAATTAACAAATCAACACCAACACCAAGTGTAGCTATGTCTTGATAAAAAGCAAAAAATAAAGATCTTGCTTCTTGATTTACAAACTGTTTCTTATTTGGTAAAGGTGCTGAGGAGAGTGCTAGACCCAAAAGACACAATGAGTTTATTTTGTTTAAGTGGATTATGTAAATTTGGGCACTAAAGCTAATAGTTAAATGAGTTTGCCTTAAGCTAATATGAGAGCTACTTTTCTTGTAATCTCATACTTTATGTCCATGGTTGTGCTTATGTGGTACACATTTGATCTTAGAAAAATGAGGGAGGGTAGAGAAAATAGAAGATACAGTCAGGGGAAAGTCTTCTGACACTCAGAGGCTAGTTACTTTTCACACACACATTCTCCCTACATATCCCCATAGCACACAAGCATGCCTGTGTGTGCACACAAACAGGAACCATAGAGCTGGTTTACTTCCATCATCAACCCTGGGGTAAAAGCCTGGGAGTAGATGGTGGAATGGGGAGAACACCAGAACAAAATGTTGTAAAAAAATCAAGATACCTGTAATCTCCCTTGCTATCAAAGCTAACACTGCTATAGATGGTTATTCTTAATATAATACTGTTCATTTCTTTATTTTGGTAACTAACATCATCATAGATTTTATAAGTTTGCCATTAAAAAATCAGCAGTTAATCAGTTTTGATAATAGAATATTTTTCTATATCATGAAATAGTAGCAAACTTTTGAGTTCCTTTCCTGCATAAGGGCTTTACTATTTCCCAAAGCTACCTCAAAGTATAATATATCTGCCATATCATATAATCTAAATTATGATGCACTTAATGGTTTAAAAGCTATAGTTGTATTCCAGTTCCTTAAATGTCTTCTGTCAAACTGTTGCATGACATAACATGCTTTATTGTGCATTTCTTCGGATGATTTTTATTTTGGGAATCAATAAAAAGATTTAGCATTCCCTAAAGCCAGTGACCAATGTCCCGGAAGTCAGCTCAGTACCCAGTGTTCTCAGGAGGAAACTATCTGACACGATCTTATCCTTATTATTTACACCATTGTGTGTGGTCACATCAAATACCAGTGCTTTCCAAACACTGCTTAGTACAGTGACTACAGTGAGTCACCCTGCACATTATTGTTTTAAAGGGTTAATGTTTGGAAAAATGATTATACCACAAGTATCTCATTGACTCAGGGCTATGCTAGCAATGCTAGGGCAGTTGTGTGAGTTGAAAAAGAGCCTTCTGTCCTCCATGCACCCATCCGTGGAAGTCTGCCCAGTTTGAAGAGACCTAACTGTTTTTCCTGCTAACTTGATGGACTAGTTTGTTTAAGATGGTGTACGACATATTTCACGTTTTCAGTTTAAATTTACAGGAAATCTGTAGTTGGAAAAGAAAATAACAATATCATTTGTATTAGAATAAAATAATTTCTTCAGGTAAAATGAATTAGAAGTTATTCTTACAAATTTTAAAGTGGATTAAAAATGATTCACAGACAAAATAAGCATTATTTCAAGACAATAAGGATCAATGAAGATTGGAGTTTCTTGATTTTTCCAATTTGTTCTACAGGTACCCTTCCATTTAAATGTAGTATTGGCTTAAATATTCTTTAAAGAATGTTTTTGGATCTAGATACAAAATAGCCACAGTATGTATTAATATCTATGACATTGCTGACAATAAAAATACACATGGAAGAAAAAACAAATAATTATATTATGTTTCTAAATTATCTTTTTAAATTTTTGTATATTCTATAGAACATATTCATCCCAAAAGGAGCTAAATTTTCTTGAAATAGCTCTGAATTTTTTTCAGTCATATATCTCTTTCGTTCAACTCAGACAAATTTTATACAAAATAAATCTTTAAAGGCAAATGTGAGCATAATCAAAATTACTCAGACATCATATAATTTTAGAACCTTTTAAAACCAGTAATTTTCCAATAGCATTAAATTTATGAGTTATATTTTCTTGGCTTTACCAAAGTTGATTTTCTATACATTGATGGATATTTTAGCAGACAAACTCAAAGAGCGAATTTAATGCAAACAAGTTTTAGTCTCTTTTATTATTGCTTTCTTAATGATTATTATCAATTATCTTTTGTGTGTGTATGTGGTGCTGAGGATCAAACCCAGGGCCTCATGTATGAGGCAAGGCAAGCACAGTGCCCCTGACCTGGACCTCAGGCCCAGTTATCATTATTTTCTACATTCTTAATTTTAGAGATGTAAAAGTATTGGATAGAGGAGTTATCTTCCATAGGTAAATAGTTACTCTGACATTTGCTGTCAGTAGACATAATAGTCAGTAGGCATAATAGTCAGTAGGCATATACATAAGGAAATGGTCATAGTCAGTAGGCATATACAGAAGGAAATGTTCTTTTATACATTTGGAGTATTTTAAAACAGTATAGCTTAAAATTTTTAATATTTCAAATTTTAGTAGAGAGTAAATACGAAAGTTAGTATCTTTTGCAAAATATTAGTTATGTTTGAAAAATATTACAAAAATAATTTCATATGTCCCTTATTTCACAGTAGTTCAGTAAGGAAATACAAAATAACACTTAAATATTATCTTTGGACTTTTGTAATTGCATTTGAACTTAGCTGCAGAGTCACTTGCTATTTTAATGTACTGAATAAATAAAACTTGTATATGCTTCGTTATTTTAATTACTGGCATCAAATGTGTTCAAAGTGAGCAAGAAAGATTTTATTTATCGATTTAATTTAATTTTATCTATACAGACTTAATTTTTCATGCTTGCCTATTGTACTATGGAACTATGGAACCAGTACTATGTACTATGGAACTAGTACTAATAGTACTATGGATAGTACTATTTGTACTATTGTACAAAGTTTGCTAAGATCTATTAAAGTACTAAAAAGGAAAAGGGGAAAATATGGAAATTAGATTACAAGGAGAGGATGAGTCTGAACACAAAGATACAGAGAAAAATATGTTTTAGTTATGTTCTAGTGTTTCCATTCATAACATCATCTTAGTTTTACTAGTTCAGGATTAATGAGCTATTCCCACTATTGTTACCTATGATTAGATTAAAGCTATAAAGAAATGGAAAGGATAGCCCATATGCTCTTTACAAATATTCTAGCTTTATGCTAAATATATAATATATTACCCTACCATATGTCTGAATCAACTATTACACTACATATCTAAAATTATTATACCATCCAATACAACAAAAATACATCTTGAGCTACAAATACAAGTGACACAACCGTCTTGATTATAGCCAGATGCAGAACCTTGGGAACAGGAGAGGAGCTTTTCCTAGTCAGGTTCTTTCTTCCAAACCATTGTAGACTACTACACAGTGAAGCCGAGCTGGAACACTTTGAAACAGGTCCCTCATCTTCATTTTTACCTTTCTACGAGGCCAGGTTATTGTAGATTTAACTAATATATGTTTAGTTAGATTCTGAGAAGTTTCATGACTTACTGTATAATAGACAATGGCAATAGTCAGTTACAATAAATAAGGTTTTCAAAATTTAAAACAAACCAAGAGTATCTTATCAAGGTGGATTAATTTGTGGAAATAATTAGATTTTAGTGACTTATACTTTGGGGGAGAAAATAAGTAAAAATTGTTCATGGAATTTAAAAAATATATTGCACCATTCCATTGTTTGTAGAAAAATCCATTCCTATGGTTTTATTTCATTTGTTTCAATTGAGTTTGATTACTGTGTAAAAATTTGAGGTTCTTTGAAACTTGGTAGCTAATACATCATTGAATGTCTTTAATATAGCTGATCCATATGATGATTTTAACACATCAGAGATGAAAGAGTAAAATAG